CAGGGTTTTGTGAGCACTATACCCAAACACCAGTATCAGACACAACGAGAATGCGTAACAATGGTACTCAGTTTACCCTACCCCGAGTGGACCAGCCGATTGACCCTGGGGGACAACCCCAAGGCCACCCGTCTACGGGAATTCAAGGCCAAAGTGGTGTGTTGCAGTGCCCCAGACACCACTCAACCATCAGGATCCTCTCCTCCCCTTCACAGGTCACCAAGCACGGCAAACACGTGGGTGGATGTTTAGATCCCAGAGAAAGTAACTGAAAATACAGAACCTTCCCTGGGAAGTCTCCTCACCACGTACAGGAATTTACGTTGAGGGGTTTAGAGTAGAAACTTCAGCTGAGTTTATATAGTATTGGAATAGTGGCGGCCATTTTTTCATTGCATTCCTCCATGGAAAGTGCTAGCACACTCTCTAAGATATACAAGACGTTTTAACCCTCCCCCACAATTTGTGTATGTTGTGTTACAGAAAATTTAATTTTGTCTCTGTGTGTGTGTGTGTGTGTGTGTGTGTGTGTGTGTGTGTATATATATAAGGACGTGGAGCCTGAATGTAATTAACTTTAACTTACGTCAAATATAATAAATGCTCAATAACACCAATAATGAGGGATGAGGAGAGGGTTTTTACCCTTGCATAAAAATGCCCCTTGTTCCAAACTATCATTCCATATAGTTCGGTTGAGATTGCCCTAGCAACCTAGGAGTAGTTAGATAACGGAAAAGAGACAGACTTACAGATTTTTTGTTGTTTGTTTTTGGATTTTATATTCTTAGATAATAATATTTCCTATTTCACTGATCCTTATTGGATTTAACTAACTAATTGTAAGTCTGTGATAGGTTTCTTCTCAAACGAAAATACTTTGACTAACGTAAAAAAATAAATAAACTTATTTATAGAGCTTCATGGCAGATTGATCAAGTAACAACAAAAAAAAAAAAAAAACAACCATTAAAATACTCTCTGGCAGATTAACTATCAATGCTTCACTAAGCTTACTTAGCTTAATGACTAGATTACACTTGTTCTAGCTATTTCGCAATGTCTCTTGTTCACTATCATTCCCGAATAATCTACATCTAATTTTATGTTAACGTGATGTGTCCTCTAGCTAACATCTAAATTACAAGAACAATATATACATAGTTTATAATAACTATCACAGAAAGAGACTTTATAAAAGAAAATTGACGAAGAGGACTTGTACTCTTGGATAGTTCAGTGGTAGAGCAATGACCTCGTTAGCCAGGGATCTCGGTTGCCAATCTTTATTTTTTTTAAATGACGTAATAGAATGTGAGAGAAGTTATTTTAGACAAAATGTACACAATAAAAGGTGTCACTTGATGCTTCAAATCATTTGACGAATTGGCGTTTGTTATTTTTTAAAAAACGACCTAGGGCATAAATCCCAAAACTTTATTTAATCGTTAAGTATCCACAGCAATCTGGGGTAAATTCTCGTGTCGCAGTTAAATTTTTGATCACGTGCTTGTAGTCGATTGGTTAGAAATGACAAGCTATGATGCAATCTTTGGAAGTTCGGGGCGTAAGAAGAATGGTTGATTGTTGAAGTTGGGCAAGAAAAGGCTTGGTTTGGCGTTTGAACATCTTGTGTGGGTTAAGGCTTAGTTTTCTTTAGCATATTTGCAGGTTTATGAGGTGAGAAGAATTACTTGTATTACAAAAATACCGTTTAGAAATATTAAAAAAGTATGATTTTAAAATTCCCCTCTCGGTCTGTGACGTAAGAAGAACGTAATACAAATACTACTTGTACTGGAAGTTGTAATAGTTATGACGGCTACTAATAGTACTACACGATACTATTAATATTAATAATGATTTATGAAATATGTTAGAGTATACATTAGTTGTGAAAAAACGTTAAAATTATAAATTCATTTATTCGTATTATACCAGCATTTGCAGCCTTGTACAAAAATAGTAAAACTTGGATATTTGTAAAACCCATTACGGTTACCGGTTGCTGCGTATATGGTCAACATCGTTTAACTTTTAATTGCCTTGTAATACATATACACAAGTTCTAGCAAAACGAATGCAGATAAGAACCTGTCCATACACTACAGTTATTTTAATATTACTTTTAGGACTTTATAAAAACGGTATAAAACATAGTTTGAGTTATGTTTTAAGCATTATGATTTTAAAATTAAACTCTTTAAAACTCCAATAAAACTAAAAGTAACAGTTTTTAAAGTATATTGGAAGTTTCAAAAACTGTAATAAGAGTTTTAGAAACGGTTTTACAATACACTGTTAACCGAGTCCTTTCATAAACATCGTGACCTTAATGTTTTATTCATTTAAACTTCTAATGAATTTGTGATTTAACTTGGATCGTCTCTTAATATTTTCTGGATAAGTAGTCTTAGTCATCATCTAAGCCATGGTTTAAAGAAACAAGCTTTTAATCTGAAGTACATATCTGATGAAAAACCAGAAGATGAACTTCCAAGTCCCTGCGTAAGATTAAGAGTAGGTATCAGATACTAATCAGTTAAGATGAGGTTAAAATTTTGAATGAAATATATAAAATATTATATCTTAATTAGTTAATGAAGCCTGATCTATCAGGCCCTAGTAACTAATAATACGTACAAACCTCTTGTAAGCATCCTGAGCTATCTCTGGTACTGATGAAACACAAACTCAATTCTAGTGGACACCTTAATTGAGGAGATACAAGAACTAATGATATGACAGAGTATTATGTAGACATCTTAATTTATCCAACTCTGAACACTGGTTATGCATCTAGCCAACTAATCAACACTAACATTATTAGATCAGAAATATTAGAGTAGAAAGACACTACTGTAATAATTTAATGATCCTCCAAGACACTACTACAATTCTTTTATTATTATTATTATCCAAGACACTACTGTAATCATTTGATGATCATCTGAGACACTACTACAATTCTTTTATTATTATTATCCAAGACACTACTGTAATCATCGGAGACACTACTGTAATCATTTAATGATCATCGGAGACACTACTACAATTCTTTTATTATTATTATCATCCAAGACACTACTACAATTCTTTTATTATTATTATTATCCAAGACACTACTGTAATCATTTGATGATCATCCAAGACACTACTGTAATCATTTAATGATCATCCAAGACACTACTGTAATCATTTAATGATCATCCGAGACACTACTGTAATCATTTAATGATCATCCGAGACACTACTACAATTCTTTTATTATTATTATCCAAGACACTACTGTAATCATCGGAGACACTACTGTAATCATTTAATGATCATCGGAGACACTACTGTAATCATTTAATGATCATCGGAGACACTACTACAATTCTTTTATTATTATTATTATCATCCAAGACACTACTACAATTCTTTTATTATTATCATCCAAGACACTACTGTAATGATTTGATGATCATCTGAGACACTACTGTAATCATTTGATGATCATCTGAGACACTACTACAATTCTTTTATTATTATTATCCAAGACACTACTGTAATCATCGGAGACACTACTGTAATCATTTAATGATCATCGGAGACACTACTGTAATCATTTAATGATCATCGGAGACACTACTGTAATCATTTAATGATCATCCAAGACACTACTGTAATCATTTAATGATCATCGGAGACACTACTGTAATCATTTAATGATCATCGGAGACACTACTACAATTCTTTTATTATTATTATCATCCAAGACACTACTACAATTCTTTTATTATTATTATCATCCAAGACACTACTACAATTCTTTTATTATTATCATCCAAGACACTACTGTAATCATTTGATGATCATCTGAGACACTACTGTAATCATTTGATGATCATCTGAGACACTACTACAGTTCTTTTATTATCATCCAAGACACTACTGTAATCATTTGATGATCATCTGAGACACTACTACAGTTCTTTTATTATTATTATCCAAGACACTACTGTAATCATTTTATGATGATCTGAGATACTACTATAGTTCTTTTATTATTATCCAAATATCTTAATAATACGTTTTAAACCAAATTTTTAAACTTGGCCATAATATTCTAAATTGGTCCTAGAGACCACAAATCATTTCAAATTCGTAGCACAATGTAGCGTTGTAGTGAACTTAAATTCTTGCATAGTTAACAACCTGTTACATTTGTTAAAACTTGTTTTAATGTCAGCACTACTGAAAACTAGCAGGTAAAATTTATTAATCATTAATTTTCAGTGAATCTTTAATTGGAACACGAAAATGCATCAATAAATCCAAAAATATAACTATCTGAATTGTGACCTATAAAAAAATATACTCAGAGAAAAGCCATCTAGTTTGTTTTAGAATCTGGCCTCATTATTATCACAGTGGTTCCCAACCTTTTCCAGGCTACGTATTTGTAAATATCGATGTACAAAACTTAGACGATTAGGAGTATATAGGTCTAGAGTATTATTTCCTAATTAGTTTCTTCAAGAACAAGAAGCTTTGAAGTAGAACTTTTGAGGTGGGTTACTTATTTCGCAAGAAACTAAGGCAACAACACTTCACTTATTCTTAACAGAAAAATCAAATCTTTTTTTTCACTATGTTTCTGTAGTCCAGCAATTTGGAACCATTCTATTAGTGTATTCCTTTAAATTGATTGTGTTTTGTCCTCCAACCTACCGAGTATGTTCCGTCTTATCTTTCTTGAGCTTACTCTCGAGTTTTGGCTGTCAGTAACTACATTATGTTAATTCTATTTTAAGGAGTGTTCAAATTTATGGTTTTTAAAGTCTGTAAATAGTTTGGCTACAGTGTACTTTACCTAAATAAATTCCAAGTAAAATTAACATTTTCAGCAAATGTACTTTAGTTTAAAAAATACGGATAATAATACTGCCTTGTGTTTTTTGTAGCTGTAAGATCTTTACCAATATGTGAAATGGATACATGATGGCAAAGTCTGCTTTCTTCAATAAATACATTTCTTACCAATAGATTAGTAAAGTTATTATATTAGTAGAATTATAATTCAATTACAAACAAATATATAATTTATGTAACTAACTGAGAACATTTTTAATTTGGCTAGGTAAAAAAAATAAAATAGGTTCTTTAAAATATTTTAATTTGGTTTATTGAGAAACAAACTTTTGAAGATAATGTGAACTTCATTAGCCCGAGATGAAACCAGGGATACATTGGATCAATCACTAGTAGAATGTACAGCCAAATAAAAGAACAGTGTGTGGTTAAAGCCTACAACTTCAGCAGTATTAACAATCACTGTAAATGAATGTGATGATGTTTCCACCTCCAGTTTTTTCATTCTCCTCTCCTAGGAAGAATTCCATCTTAACATGCAAGAATCTCTTGTCATTAAGCAAAGAAAAGCATCACGTAACAAGTATACGAGGGCACTACCAACACTTTTTTCAGTTATGAAAAGATAAAGAATAAGTGTGAACTTAGTTTTTTTGGTCCAGACATAAATTTTGTAAATAAATAGTTGTTGTTATAGATATTGTTCAGAAAGTTTATTTTGGAGCTTAATGTTATTGTAGTTAGAGCTGGATGTTTAACTCAGTTAATTGATATAACTGGATACCTTGATTAGTGTCATAAAATAACGAGTTAATCAAAATTGATTAAGTCATTAAAATAATTAACATTAATGTTTCTGATTATTACTATTTTTGATTATTCCAACTGGCCAAGTTTCACAAGAGAATAATTAATTGATTATTAAATTCCACTAATCGTTCAGCTCTAATTTGAGTGAATTATTAGGAAGATATTATAAAGTTTCCAACAAAAACTGGTTTTGTAGTTTATTATGTTAGTTTAAAAATTCTAACATCTCAAACATTATAAAAGGCTAAACTAGTACCACACTATACTTGAAAACTGTAGAATTAGCATACTGATAGCATGCATGTATGGAAGACTCCTTTTAAAGTTTTAAAATAAATGTAAAAGTATTATAAATTATAACTTACAAAAATTAGCGACTTGAGTGAACACTCTTTAGGAACTAATTTTTTTTAATGTGAATAGACCTTGTGTGATATGTAAACATATGTTCTAATGTTGTGTGTTGAAAAGTTCTAACAATAGTTTTAAAGCTCTAAGTTTTGTTTTTGAATGGTAGCACTTTATGTTAGTAAGTAACAAAAATGTTACATGACTACAACTAAATCATGACATGTTAAGATGTGTACATACTGAAATTATGTCTTTTTTAGTTAGTTTTCATAGTTGGCTAAGTTAAATTCAATTTATTAAGGTGTTCATTTCTTTTGCAGTTGATTCACTTTGACAGATTTGTATTTTAAAATCTTTCATGAAAACACTGTTCTCAAGGATGAAAAAGTGATGGTAAGGCAGTTAAAAGCAACAAAGAAATTTCCAAAGCATTTGAGCTCCTAAAAATAAATGTTTTTAACAATGCAATATCTATAAAAAAATCAAAAATTTTAATTTTCTTTTTTTTTAATGTTATGGATGGAATATTTAGTTACACATTTTGAAGTTACAGGAGTTCAGAGAAAAAAAAAGTGTCTTTGTGACCAGTACTTTTTGTTCTAACCCTAAACACATTTCACCATAGAGTGTAATTATCACTTGTATGTATATATATGGTTATTATCTATCAACAGCATAATTATTAATAATTG